CCATTTATTTTTATTAGTTGGAGGCTAATTACTTTACAATATTGTAGTGGTTTTTGCCATACATTGACATGAATCAGCCATGGATTTGCATGTATTCCCCATCCTGATCCCCCCTCCCACCTCCCTCTCCACCCAATCCCTCTGGGTCTTCCCAGTGCACCAGCCTCGAGCACTTGTCTTATGCATCCAACCTGGGCTGGTGATCTGTTTCACCCTAGATAATATAAATGTTTCGATGCTGTTCTCTCAAACCATCTCACCCTCGCCTTCTCCCACAGAGTCCAAAAGTCTGTTCTGTACATCTGTGTCTCTTTTTCTGTTTTGCATATATGGTTATCATTACCATCTTTCTAAATTCCGTATATATGCGTTAGTATACTGTATTGGTCTTTATCTTTCTGGCTTATTTCTCTCTGTATAATGGGCTCCAGTTTCATCCATCTCATTAGAACTGATTCAAATGAATTCTTTTTAATGGCTGAGTAATATTTCATGGTGTGTATGTACCACAGCTTCCTTATCCATTCATCTGCTGATGGGCATCTAGGTTGCTTCCGTGTTCTATTATAAACAGTGCTACGATGAACATTGGGGTGCACGTGTCTCTTTCAGATCTGGTTTCCTCAGTGTGTATGCACAGAAGTGGGATTGCTGGGTCATATGGCAGGAGAACTGCTGTTTTAATACAACTTTCTGGTTATTACTGCTTTAGTCCAATAGTGTCACTTTAAAGGTAGGACTTGGTATATGAAAATCCTGCCAACAAAACTGCATGGGTAAGACCTTTTTTAGCAGTTGAGCCCTTAATGTGCTTCAAATTACAGTACAGGATCTATACTATAATAAAGATGACAACCATTCCACTTGTGACTAATGCTTATCACTGCATACACAAATAATTTTTTCCATAATTAAAAATGGTGCCTTTAATTGTCTAGTTACATGTAATAGTCATGGGTTATCTTCTATAGAAAGAGTTTGAAGACAGAAAAAGTTGTAGTAGGGAAAAAAATAACAGAAGAGATTTTGGAAAGTTTCCAGAATGAAGGAGGAGAGAAGAGAAGAAGGAATGAAGAAAAGGGGAAGATGGATATTTAGGATATGTTGTTGTTCAGTTGCCAGGTCATGTCTGACACTTTGCAATTCCATGGACTGCAGCATGCCAGACTTCCCTGTCCTTCACTATTTCCCAGAGTTTGCTCGAACTCGTGTCCATTGAGTTGGTGATGCCATCCAACCATCTCATCCTCTGTCATCCCCTTTTCCTCCTGCCTTTAATCTTTCCCAGCATCAGGGTCTTTTCAAATGAACTGGCTCTTTGAATCAGCTGGCCAAAATATTTGGGTTTCAGCTTCAGCAAAAGTCCTTCCAATGAATATTCAGGACTGATTTCCTTTAGGATTGACTGGTTTGATCTCCTTGCTGTCCAAGGGACTCTCAAGAGTCTTCTCCAACACCTCAGTTTGAAATCATCAATTCTTCAGCACTCAGACTTCTTTTATGGTTCAGTTCTCACATTCATACATGGCTACTGGAAAAACCATCTTTGACTAGACAGACCTTTGTTGACAAAGTGATGTCTCTGCTTTTTAATATGCTGTCTAGATTTGTTACAGCTTTTCTTCCAAGGAGCAAACGTCTTTCAATTTCATGGCTGCAGTCACCATCTGCAATGATTTTGGAACCCAAGTAAATGAAGTCTGTCACTATTTCCATTCCCTCCCCACCCCATCTATTTGCCATGAATTGATGAGACTGGTGAAAGTGAAAGTGAAAGAGGAGAGTGAAAAAGTTGATGAAAGTGAAAGAGGAGAGTGAAAAAGTTGGCTTAAAGCTCAACATTCAGGAAACTAAGATCATGGCATCTGGTCCCATCACTTCATGGCAAATAGATGGGGAAACAGTGGAAACAGTAACAGACTTTATTTTTCTGGGCTCCAAAGTCACTGCAGATGATGACTGCAGCCATGAAATTAAAAGACACTTACTCCTTGGAAGAAAAGTTATGACCAACCTAGACAGCATCTTAAAAAGCAGAGACATCACTTTGCCAACAAAGGTCTGTTTAGTCAAGGCTATGGTTTTTCCAGTAGTCATGTATGGATGTGAGAGTTGGACTATAAAGAAAGCTGAGAGCCAAAGAATTGATGCTTTTGAACTGTGGTGTTGGAAAAGACTCTTGAGAGTCCTTGGACTGCAAGGAGATCCAATCAGTTCATCCTAAAGGAGATGAGTCCTGAATATTCCTTGGAAGGACTGATGCTGAAGCTTTAACTCCAATACTTTGGCCACCTGATGCGAAGAACTCACTTCTTGGAAAAGACCCTGATGCTGGGAAAGATTGAAGGCAGGAGGAGAAGGGTACTACAGAGGACAAGATGTTTGGATGGCATCACTGACTCAATTGAGATGAGTTTGAGTAAACTCTGGGAGTTAGTGATGAACAGGGAGGCCTGGTGTGCTGCAGTTCATGGGGTTGCAAAGAGTCGGGTACAAATGAATGACTTAACTGATGACCTGAACTGAACTGATGGGTCTGGATGCCATGATATTCGTTTTCTGAATGTTGAGTTTTAAACTAGCTTTATCGCTTTCCTCTTTCACTGTCATCAAGAGGCTCTTTAGTTCTTCTTCACTTTCTAACATTAGGGTGGTATCATCTGCATATCAAGAAAAGAAAAAAATAAAGAAGGAAGAGACATAAATAGAGTTGAACTGGATTTGTTGCTTCTCAAAAAATCTCACATGTGTAAAAGAACAATTTACTAAAATCAGTTTCACTTACTATGCCAAATGTTTTAGGAGTACAGGTACATCATAAGGATACATGAGTAGTGAATACAGAGATGTACTGTTCACATTCCCTTTATCGAAAGACTCTGCTCCAGTTGCTGGCATGTTCCTGGCAGACAGCCTCTAGCTGTCAGCTCCTTTGGCTGGAGAGAACTGCTTCTTGTAGGAAGTCACTCCACGGAGGTGAGGTTATAAAGCTTCAGCCGTTCTGGGTCACAGTGGGACAACTCTTCACTATGGGTGAAGCTGTGGAGGACGGGCCGGCTCCCCTGATGACTCTTGCCTCCACCCCGTCAAGTTCCGCCCTCTCCCTCCCACAGGGATTTGTCCCATGGGCACTCCGTAATACATCCTGAATGCCTAGCTCTGTCTCTGTCTACTTCCTGTAGATCCCAAACTGGAACAGCATCTTACTGACTTAAATATAACCAAAATTGGAGAAGACCTGAGAATCCTAGGCAATGGAAACTAATCATCAAAATTATGTGTTAACCTTTTAACACAAGCATTTATTTTGAAGTGCTTATACTCAGCATATTATCTTTTTTGTTTTCATATTTCCACCTCCCCTTTCTTGAAGAAATCTTATTATGGAAAGATAAAAAGGTAGCAAGGTAAGAAAAACAATTATGCTCTTTCTTACCCAGACACTCAGGAAACCCACAGTTTCAAGGTTGGCCTAAGCAGCAAAAGAGGAGATGTGAATATATACCAATAGAAAGTTCTGAGGTTGTCTGATGATCAGAAGTGTTTGATTTTGTTTGCTCCTGAAGATTTGCATGGTTACTCAAAACTCTCAGACATGAACAGGATTAGTCATTTTGATCAGGAAAGTGGGTATTCATTCCCTTCCTGTCTTCCGACCTGGCTGCAGAGGGCATACGGAGTATTCCCAGGTCAGTTCTCTCCCTTTTCAAACTCACTCTTATAGCCAAGCCTAAGACAGAGTGGGTGAGCCTTCTGGCTGTCCACTGCCTTTAGACCTTTGCCCTCCGGGAAATAGGTCTGTTTAAGTGTCCTAGTTTTGATTCTTTTTCTGGGATCTATATGTTGCTAGGAGATGACTCATGGCAGCCCACACCCTGATCCTCAGTTTGGAAGAAAGACAGGGTGGTGAAGTAACTGTCCCAACTTGGACTGGAAACGTCTCAACTGCCTAAAATTGAGATACGATTTTTTTCTAGGGTTACCTGGATAACAGTGATTTTTGATGTTACAAAGTAAAAACAATTATATTTAGCTTTTCCTTTGGGGGTATGGATTAGAGGAGTTGGCCCCTGTGAACATTTTAGATCTCATTTATTTCAGACAATTACTTCAACCATACTTCTCAGCTTGGGGGTATGATAGTCTGTCTCCTGTAAGGTACAGTAACTATTTGTGAGAAAAAAAGAAAAAAGATAAATGGGCTGTTATAAAGGAAATATTCTGAAGGTTCCATTCAGGCTTTGTCCCTCATCTGTTAAATGGGATTAATACCTACCGAACTTGGTTATGAAGATTCAATAAGGAAACATCAGAAAAGCACCTAGAACGGTGGCTAGTATAGAAGTGAAGTCGCTCAGTCGTGTCTGACTCTTTGCGACCCCATGGACTGTAGCCTACCGGGCTCCCCCGACCATGGGATTTTCCAGGCAAGAGTACTGGAGTGGGTTGCCATTTCCTTTTCCAGAGGATCTTCCTGACCCAGGGAGCGAACCCAGGTCTCCCGCATTGTAGGCAGACGCATTACCGTCTGAGCCACCAGGAAAGCCCCTTGGCCAGTGTAGAAATATTCGGTAAATAGCGATCCCAGTCCATCCCTTCTAAATGAGCCGTGGGAAAACAATTCTTAACCTCACAGGGTCTCCCTCCCCTTTCCATTCCCCGTCACAGCAGTGGAGATCGTAAAGATGCTTCTTCCATGTCTCTTCTCTCCGTCCCTTCTTCTCTCCTAGACAAGGAAGTGACAGTGTGTCCCCGTGGATTCGGAAGCTCGTGCCTCCTAGGACAGCCCAGTCCCCGGGTTGCTAAGGTGGGGGTGGTGGGTGGAGAGCTGCGGCTTTGGCCTGCGCAGAGCGGCGGGGAGGCGACCAGGAGACGATGGGGAGGCGGGCGCAGTCGACCCAAGGGTGGAGAAGGAGGAAAGCGAAGGACGCGCGTTCCCGGGCTCGTGACCGCCGGCAGCTCCAGGAACCCGCACCCAGACAGCCCAGGAGAGATGGCAGGCGGCAGGGACCCGCGCGTCGTGGACACCCTCCACCTGCTGCTGCTGGTGGCCGCCTTGCCCCTGGCAGTCCGGGGGGTCCGTCGGGGCGCGGTAGACTGGACCCAGGAGAAGGTGAGGGGCTGCTGCTGCGCGATTGTATCTGGGCGGCTCTCGCGCGTGCGGGGACTCAGTCCCGCGACCCCCACCTGGGCAGGATGGGAAGCGGGGCAGAGCCGAGGTCCCCCAACCCTGCGCCCAGAGGAGTCGGGGCTCTGCGTGCTCGCCAGCGTGCCTCGCTGGCCGCCGGGAGGCTTTGGAGATGCCTCGGGAGCTGGGTGATGTCACCAGGCTCCGCTCGGCTGCGGTCTGATGCTGGTACTGATAGGCACACGAAGTGTCACTTGCCTGCGGTGGCAGAGCGGGGAGGTGAGGGCGCAGCACCGCGCATCCGCCCGCTCGGGACACGCGGGGGCTGCGTCTCGGCGCTCCAGGCCTCCGAGGTGCGGGGCGTGCCTGGGGGTGTGCCACCGCTCCCTAGCCGCGCCGGCCGCCGTATCCCGGGACACCCTCCCGGTGTTGAAGTTTCCAGGCACGGATGTGTGTTACTGTCTGTTTTAGATTTTTAAGCGGATCAGCGCCGAAAGGAGGAGATTACTTGGAGACCCACTTTACTTTAAAATGTATTTTCTTTTTTCGTTAAAAGATAGTAAAAGACAGTTGTTAAAGAAATGTATAAAATGGTAGGTGGAGATTTCATGTAAGGAACTTAGATAAAAGGGATTTGCAAGTTCCCTCTGTGTGAAGTAAATAGATTCACAGTTATTTTCATTTCTTGTGTAACAGTTTTGAATTCCTAAAATTGCTAGGGACTTAAGCAAAGGTTATTGATATTGGAGTAAAATGGTATACTTCCAAAGATACTAAGAAAAGTAGTAAAGTTAAGGGATATGACCTTTGACAGCGCTGTTGAACAGGTGTCTTAAAAGCTTGTGGTCTGCCAGTACTGACTTACAGGGCTCAGGGCGAAAGCACAGGCCCGCTCCCGGCTCACCTGTGGGTCCTGTCCTGCCACAAGCTATGATATCAACAGCCCACTTCAGCTCTCTGGGTGATACTTATAGCTTCACCTTTCAAGGACCACAAGGGTGCTCCACTTACTTAAGGACATCACTAGCCACAGGGAACCTGGGGAGGATGAGGGTGGTGGACTCACAAATAACTTCATTATAAGAAAAGCTTCCCATGAGAATTCAATAGGACTAATGTCCATTGATGAACACAGGGCTACAGACTTCCATCTTCTTCCTGCCAGAAATTGGGAAGGGGCATTAACTACCAGAATGTGGAGCCACACCAAATGTGTCTTTATGATCCGTGGAAATGGATGGGAATAAGTGAGGTGGGGACAGAAGGAGCTGTTCTGAGGGATCATTTACAGGCAGGAGGTATTTGTGGGTGTGAGAAGGTGCTGGATTTTTTCAGTGTTTTAAACTAATGAGACTCTAGCTTTTGAGAAATGTCTTTTAAAGCCCGAATTTCTTTTATATTTAAGAAGCTACTAATCGCTGTTCTATTTGTTTCCTTTCAAGAGGGGCAAGCAAATGATGCAAATGACAAAATCAGCCACGACAATGCCTGATTTCTGCTTCTCCCTGCCCTTACTCTCTGAAACTTTAATAAGGTCTACCAGGTGTCAAGTACAATTTGCAGCCTGGGAAATGAATTAATCCACACTAAAATTCATGCCTTCCTGCTCTGCATGAATTTGGCTATTTTAATCATGTGGGGTGTGCCCTTGGCACACTGGTCTGCCAAAAGGTGAGGTGTGGTAAAGGAAGCATTGATTTTGAAATCCATTTTCTTTGTTTTGAAATAAAGGTGTGTCTTTTCCAGTGGGATCTAATATGTAAAAACAGTTCAACCCTAGTTTATGGTTGTGTTTAGAAGACTGCGATTTGTTTGAAACCTGTAAACAATTTTTCATGGAAGTCATATTATAAGTTATTTGATTCACAGGTGGTCTCACTGGTATATATTTAGGGGCATTGGCATGTGGGTATCAGGATTCTATGTATAAGCATCTGACTTGAACCTCGCAGTGCCCTCATAGTGAGAAGGATATATTCATCCGCAATTTACAGATGAGGAACCTTGACCACCATTACAGAGGCGAATTGAAGAGTCCTCGTCTTTCCTTAACTCAACCATGCCTTTATTATTGATGTTTAGGTGGTTTCCAAACTTTCTTTATCATAAAGCTGGGACCCAATGTATTTTACTTGATAGATTTTTCCTTTGTTATTAATGAAAGTAAAAAAGAAAAATTTAAGTCGTATCAAGGATGGAGGAACCCTGTACAGGAGAGTTGGCTTCACCTGGGAGTCCTTCTCTAGGATTGCTCTGGAGGAGAATTACTGCTCTCACCAGTATTTCACGTTTTTCTGCTTCTAGAACCACATACATTCTAAAACCCCATTAGGTTTCCCTCTTCTGTTGTTCTAAAATTCTTGGCCATCTACCCCTCTGCCCATCATGATTCTTGTGAATCATAAAGCAGCAATGGAGACTCCATTGGCAGGGGCAGGGGGCCAGTGGTAGTCTGCATGTTGGTGGTAGAAGGAGAAAGAAAATGTGCTGTTTTTGAGCTTCTCACATCTGGCCGGTAAGTATTATGACATCCATTATGCAGATATGGGAGCTTTCCATAGTCATAGCTAGCAAGTGAGGATCTGGGATTTGGCCCTAAATTGTTGTTTTTAAAACCTGCACTACTTCGCTTTTAGATAGAGGGCTGCTAGCATTAAAGAAGACAGGACTTTAATCATATTCACTTCTCAACTGTTCCACAACTTCATTTGTCATATCAGTGGCATCTGACCCAGAGGGAGTTCTGTAAATGCTGTCTGGGTTGAATTTGGAGTAGACACAGGTATTAATCTGAGCACTGTCTGGGAGATGCTCATATTGGATGGAAACTAGAATTGATTTGGCTGTGCTTCTGTAATGTTCTCCGTTTAATTCAATGGTGTGGGACCTCAAATCCACCTGCAAGCTGGGCCAGTTCTACAAATTATGTAATTAAAACCTTCTTTGGCCAGGCACTGTGTGATTAGTCCAGACGACATGCTAAAGGAGATCTGGTTCACACTTTTTCAGCTGAAAGATTCTTGTCGCCCAAAGCGAACTTATTGTCCTTTCTGCCTGGATGGAAAGGTAAGGCAGGGGCTGTAATAGAGACTCATTCCTCCGAGAATGCCCGTACCAATGGAAAATTGTCTGTGTGCCTTTTAACTGAAATAAACCTAGAGTGGTTTGGGGTTGACATTTAACATTGAGCTCAACACAGTTTTACCTCATTCATTTACTGTCCTTGTGCCCAATTTGCACTTTCTTTCCAGGTTTCCTCTCTTACTGCTTCCTCTCAGCTGAACATAGATTTTTATATTTATTGAGTTCTGAGAGTCAGCCTCCATAAAAATCAAACAAATGCTGTTTAGGTTGGAAAAATCAAATGGTTTTCCACTCAGGACTTTAATGAATAGAAAGGCTTAGGCAATTAACCAATTATGAGTGTTTCCCCTTCTCTAGCTTTTAATCTCTGTGGTTTCACAGGGGCATCTTTACTCCCAGAGAGACAGGGAGGGGGAAGGCTCTTTACTGAAGTAGGTTCATCTAATGGGTGAGCCCAGGAGATAGGATCAACACAGGTAAGGTTCTGTATTCAGGAGCACCGATGGGCTTATCTAATGAGCTTACCCTTTACTCATCCATTTAGCATTTTTTGGTGCTGTTTGTCAACCATGTTTAATTCACAGTATCTGTAACAGGTAGTGATGCTAGAGGATTATTTTGTTCCTGTTTTTTCCTTAAATCTCTTAAGAAGTCATTTCAAGCCTCCATAAATTGCCTATTTACTTATTTACTTACTTATTTTTCTTCTTCCTCATAGTCTTTATTTCCCAACATCTTGGGGCTCATGGGAGTTTCCTTGGGCTCCTGTTTGGCTCATGAATTGTTGGGCTGCACCTTGCAGGTCTGTGAACCTTGTAGTTGCCCAGTTTCGAGGCCAAAGAAAGAGCCTGGAGATGGTGACAGAGACAATCAATGATTTATTGAACAGAGGATCTTACATGCCCAAAACAAAGGGTCCTGGAACAACACCCCATTGGGCAAATGGGCAGGCCACGGCAGCAATCTTTATATAAATCACCCATTTAAATATCAACTTGATTTCCTTTCACTATGGACGTGGAGTAAAGGACCACAGTGACTGTTGGTCCTTTGTTGGACTGGAACCTGGTGGTCCGGAGTCGATGATGAGAGAGTGAAAGAAGGAAAGAGGCTAATATTCCCTGGGTTACACAGCTGGCTTTCACGCTCCAGGGAATCAGCCAGAAATAGAGAGAGAGAGAGAGAGAGAGAGAGAGAAGGAAAGAAAGAAAGAAAGAAAGACACGGGGACCCAAGCTCTGATGGAGCAAAGGTGTTTTAATCAACATGGTGTGGGCATATATACTGTCTTACAAAGTAGTTATTCTCAGCAGAGATAATGATTAAAATTTCAGACTTACAAAACATAAGGCAATTCATATTAAAGAGAGAGAGTTGTAAACAATCATTTTTTACCGTATGGTTCATAAGAAGGAAGAGGGTACTTATCACCGTACTGAAAACTAATGAAGGAGATGCCTGGATTCCTCAGCCCTGGGAAAGGCGTGCCTCTCCTCTTAATTCCTGAATATTCAGGAATTAATAAGGACCAGAGGATTCCTGACAGATCCAAAACAGCACACAGGAAGCCTCCTGTTAAGTGCTTCCTGAGAAGTGACCAGGGTCTGGGATGGATGGAGTAATAAACAGTAAATGAAAAGGAGTCTTTGGCCAGACAGCCTTTGACACAGCAGTTCTTGATTGTCACAGTGACTTTCCCAGGCCAACGCAACTCTAAACATCACAATCATTGACTCTCAGAAATTCAAAGAGAACAAAGTCTACCAACATTGAACTACAGCACTTCCTGGCCCTTTGCAGCAGGCAGCCACTTGTCTTTCCTGGCCCTATAATCTCTGTTCATTCAGCTGACTTGGTATATGTTTTCCCATTTTACTTTATTATTATGCACATACTGTCTTAGTGAAGTTAATTTTAGGAAGACGGTTCACTTGTTGATTCCATATTTAATGAGTTCATCCAATAATTATTGAGTGTGGCACGTGAGCCAGGTGCTGTGTGGTTCTGGGGAGAGCGTGGAAAGTAAGAGAGAGAGTTCCTGACCTCCTGGAGTTGACATCTTGGATGAAATTAGACATTAAACAAGTAGACACACAAGGCCTCTACACTCCAACCTGGAATGAGCAGGAGTTAGCTAGGTGAAGAGGAAGGGGAAAGCCTTCAAGGGTAGAAAGCACCACAAGGCACAGACGCCAAGAGGCCCGAGCCTCACTGCCTTGGGTCCTGAAGGGACCAGGGAGACTGAAGCATGGTGAGTTGGTCTGAGTGGTCCTGCACGGGGCTTGTGGGGCAGCAGGAGAGATCAGAGGCTCTTGTTGTCTGTGTTAAGTAAGAATTAACTGTGTGAGTTTTCCAACTTCTTGCCTCCATTCTCTTCTTTTCTCTTCTCACATTTCTATGGTTTTATCTTTTAGCTTCCTCTTTCTTCTCAAAGTGCTGTTTGAGAGTTAACAGGAAGACTTAGATGAGGTACCAGGGACTTTAAAGGCTGCAGCAACAAATTTAGCAAGGAAATATATTTTTAAATGTATGATCAGTAAATAAACACAAACCTTCAGATGTTCAGAAGCAGCATCAGTAGGCAGGGTTGTAGACTGAAAGTCACAGATAATGCAGGGAGGCAGAGTGGAATGAGCATGGGATTGGGGATCGACACAACCATGATCCTTTCTCAAACTTACCTGTAACTCTCCTACAACCTTGGAAAATCAGCTAGTCTCTCTGACTCAGTTTCCACTGACAGCAAAGAGACTGGATTATAATCATCTCTAAGTGACCTTTCCAGCTCAGAATTCTATACCTCTTCAGTGTCTGATAGATGGTAATAGAACTAATAATACTTATCAAATGTTTACTGAGGTAGTTTACATGAGTTAGCTCACTTATTTATAATTACCCTGGGAAGTAGGTGTTATTACCTCCCTTTTACAGATGAGGAAGTTAAGTCATAATGAGGTTAAGTAACCTAGCCAGAGTTATAGATAGTAAGTGGTGAGGAGTTGAGTAGAGAGACCAAGTTGAAGGGGGCTGCCTGGACCCACAGACCCCTATCTTTGTGTGATAAGAGCTGAGAGTGACTCTGAGACATAGTGAAGTATAATAAGCATTAGACAATAAGTATGCTCTAATTCCACAATTTCTCATGGAGTGAAAACACCCATGTGATAACCTGGACATAATCAATTTATACTGGTTTTGGAAAAAGCCGTAAAATAGAGAGGGCTCCCGTGAGCTCTGTTTTGATTTCCAAAAAATTTTTGTTACTTCATCATTCCCCTCAGAGAAGAAATCAGATCAACGACTCAGTTCCCTGTGGGAAGGAGTAACACATTCTGTCATTGTATGTCTGATGAACATGTAATGAGTGAATGATTCATCATTACTGGAATTATAAGAAAATTCAGCTTGTATAAAGTAGTATCCAGAATACAAATTTGAATGTTATACTTGTTCAGCTGCTTAAATTAAGTTTCACTTAATTAATATATAAGTGTATCAAAGAATGTGAGCATTAATGGAATATTAAAATAATTTTAACTGAAGACAAAAAATGTACTATTTAGTGGATTGTAGAATCATCAACCTCTGACTGAAAAGAATTGCAGCAATCATCCGGGTTAGAGCTATTCAATAGAAATATATAATGTGAAGCACATATGTAATTTAAAATTTTCTAGTGGCTCTATTAAAAAAGTAAAAGACAATAGGTTAAATTAATTTTAACACTATATTTAATTCAATATATTAAATTTTTTTCATTTCAACATGTAATCACTATAAAAATTCTTAGTGAGCTATTTTGCATGTTTTTTCATACTAAGTCTTCGAAATTCAATGTGTGTATTACACATAAAGCTCACCTCCATCTGACTCTCTACATTTCAAGAGCGTAATAGCACATGTGGCTCCTGGCTACCATATTAGACAATGCAGATTTAGCTCAAATTCTTTTATTAGTATTTTAGGGAAAAGAGAATTTAAGTGATCTGCCCAAGGTCATACAACCTGAAAATGGCAGCAGGAACTTTGAATCCAGCTCCTCTCACCCCAAGAGTATGCTTATTCCATAACATCACACTGGCTTTTATAGAACAATTATGCTAACAGAGTATATTGTTTTGTTGGCTGTGGTTTCTGTAATATTGAGTTTTCTTAAGACTAGGATATCAACAATTGTTATTTGTAAACCTTAGTTTTACAAAGTAATTGTAGCAAAATTATTAAAAGTTACACAGCTACAAGTGTTATATGTTAATTCTCAGGTTCAAAGCATTATCTTAATTCTGTTTTTTAAAAACAAGCTGCCAAAACAGTTAAACTTGTAGATCTAAGGAGCCAATTTTAAAGTTGAGTAGTTTAACTTACTATGTTATAATGTAAGAGCTATCCCTTTATTTTGAAGTTCAAAGCAAATATTTTACAGTTGCAAATGTTTCAGGATAAATCTTAAATATGTTGTGAAATGATGTAAATATTAATAAATTTATTTATTTCTCAGAATTATCACCAACCAGCCCTTTTGAATGTATCATCTCTTCGGCAAGTTGCAGAAGCCACCAGTATTTCTGAAATGTGGCAAAATGACTTACGACCATTGCTGATAGAGCGATATCCTGGATCACCTGGAAGCTTTGCTGCTCGCCAGGTAAGAAACAGCACACAAATCTGAAGGTTGTCCATGTTCTGTTCCCATGAGAGATGATGCTATGCTCAAAATTCTGAGTTGTCTAATATTCAGATCTGTCATCTCATCTTATTAACTAAAATAAGCATCCTAGAAAAGCAGACAACTAAGAATAAATATCTGTTCTGGATTAAGAGATGCATGTTAACCTAAATCAATTTATGCATGAATTCTGTGTACCCAACTCTTGATTTTTTCTATAACACATTGCCAGGCACCCAACCAAGTTTTCTTGAACCTTAAACACCCAATCTCAACAGACTTGGACATTGCTTTCTTAACAGTTCTGGGTCAAGAGTGAGTTACGGTCTTAACAGGCCTTTATTCCCCTTTTGAAATTGTATTTTACCTGGAGGGAGAGTTAAGACCAGTGATAAACTACTTTCTCCAGTACAGTGCTTCTCAAGCTTCTGACTCTGACACATGGCAAATACACATATATATGTATATATATTACATTTTATACACAAAAACATAGAGCAACTAATATAAAAATTTCTTTAAAAATACTCCTATTATGTGCAATCTGTTGACGTTGTTCAGTAGCTAAGTCTGTCTGACTCTTTTTGACCCCATGGACTGCAGTATGCCAGGCTTCCCTGTTCTTTACTATCTCCCAGAGCTTGCTCAAACTCATGTCCATTGAGTTGGTGATGCCATTCAACCACCTCATCCTCCGTGATCTGCTTCTCCTTCTGCTTTCAATCTTTCCCAGCATCAGGGTCTTTTCTAATGAGTCAGCTCTTCGCATAAGGTGGCCAAAGCATTGGAGCTTCATCTTCAGCATCAGTCCTTCTAATGAATATTCAGGATTGATTTTCTTTAGGATTAACTGGTTTGATCTCCTTGCAGTCCAAGAAGTCTCAAGAGTCTTCTCCTACACCACAGTTTAAAAGTATCAATTTTTTGGTGCTCAGCCTTCTTTATTCTCCAACTCTCATATCCATACATGACTACTGGAAAAACCATAGCTTTGACTACACAGACCTTTGTTGGTAATGTCTCTGCTTTTTAATACGCTGTCTAGGTTGGTCATAGCTTTTCTTCCAATGAGCAAGCATCTTTTCATTTCATGGCTGCAGTCACCATCTGCAGTGATTTTGGAGCCCAAGAAAATAAAAGTCTGTCACTGTGTCCATTGTTTCCCCATCTATTTGCCATGAAGTGATGGGACCAGATGCTATGATCTTAGTTTTTTGAATGTTGAGTTTTAAAACAGCCTTTTCACTCTCCTCTTTCACCTTAATTAAGAGGCTCTTTAGTTCCTCTGGTTTTAATTTTATTTTACTAGTTTTCTTTTTAATCTAGTCATGAACCACTAGTCTGATTTCAAGACCCTGATTTTTGCACTGTAGTTTGAAAGACACTGCTCTGGAGGGTAGATTAGGCCATAAGAGGGAATAAACCTGAATGTCTCTCTGACTCTTAAGTGTCTGTCCTCTTCAGCAATCTGAAACCCCAGCTCTGAATGCCTATTTTTTCAAGGTATCCCTATTTTTAGGGGCAGTTTGGGAAGGAATGCGGAGAGGCTGACCTCTCATATCCTCCTCTGAGAGTAGCCCACTTGCCTATCTCTTCCAGCAAACCCCTTGGCACGCCACTGGCAATGACAAAGTGACACCCGCAAGGCCCAGCAGCACAGCTGGTGGGCTTTTAATCCAATATATGACTTCTGCCTCTCAAGGTGAGCCCAGATGCATTGTCGGTTGCCTCATTAGCCTCTTGTCTTCCATCCAAACAGCTCTTGCTTTCCTTAAGGACTTAGGTGGAGGAGACCCAAAGACGACATTAGTTCTTTCTAAGCTCTAGGCAGAGAGAGGAATAATGATGATGATGGCAGATTTTTATCCAGGGCTTTTTCCAGCTCCATCAGGCACTTGGTGGAAAACTTTGCCTGGACTCATTCAGTTCACACAGCAGTGCCACCTTGTTGGGGACAATTATTCTCCCAGTGCTACAGATTTTAAAAGACCTGAGGCTGAAGTATGCAATTTAACTTGCTCATGGTTATACACATTGGAGAGATGAGGCTGGAACCTGCCCTGGGATCTACTTGATTTCTCCATCCAACCCCTGGAGAGCAGTGGCTGGGCAAGCCCAGCTCTGTGCTGTGTGCTCACACATGTGTCCAGCTCTCTGTCTTCTCAGGCCCCAGTTGGAGAGCAAGGCACATACCACTCATTTCAATGATCTCCCCTGGGCCTCATCTCTCAAGCATTTTCCAGAAAAGTTCAGGGCACTGATTGGGTCTTTCCAAAATCTTTAGTTCTTCATTTGAAAAAATCTATGTCTGTAGTGCTCACCCATCTCCACTTTTTCACTTCCCCATAGCATTCTCTCAGAAGGTCAAATATATATCCCCAAAATGTATATGCACACTTTAGACCTGAGGTTTCTGGCTGTGGCCTCTAAAAAGCAATAAAGACAACAAAATATTGCTATTTTGATCTTTCTTTAGCTCCAGGAGTATAGATTGCAGGAATAATATACATAGATTCTGTTGTGATTTTAAAACTACATATTTATTTAAAAGTTTTACAGAATTCATAATAACATCTTCCATGTCAGGTGGGGGTGGAGGCAAGTGAGAAATTTATTGACAGTATTTTGGAATGTGCCGGGAACTGTTGCTGGATTGCCTATGTATGGCTGGCTGACATAGCAGCAGTGCTGACAGAATGGTTGTGTTAGAAATCTCACTTAAGCGATTCAGTTTTATAACTTGGGGAGAAGAAAATTACCATGAATTTTAGGAAAACTGTCCCCCCAAAATGTGGAAGATAAAGAATTCCTTCTTTTGAAAATGAAACAGATGATACTGAGATATTAGGAGGGAACTGAACTAATGACTTTAATTTGACTATTAGTACCTTTTGCTCTGAACTAAATTCAGACATGAATGGTGGAAAATTATTTTTTCTCCTGAGGCACTTTTGAGGACCCCGTCAGATGTTTTATAATTTGCAGAGTTTCAGGGTTATAACTAAAGAACACTTCAAAAATCTAAAAAAAAAAAATGTAGACTTGATATAAAATTGATTAGTGAATTAACTCTTATCAGTTATCAATAAAGATGTGTATTGCTATGAATTCCCTTTCAGAGGATAATATGGGAGCAATATCCCATAGTCTTCATTTTTATCGTTTCTGATCAGTGGGTCTAATGCTGCCTCTTGGATTTTTAGGATATATTTATTTTTGAAGATACTTTATTTGTAAACAATACTTGAAGGTATTAAATTTTGGAGGACTTCAGTGATTTCTAGCTGAGAAAGGAATAAAAAATAAATTTAAAAGTCAGAATGATAAAGTCTCACTAAGGAGCAAGCCAAAAACCTTGTCTAGAGGCAAGCTAGAAATTCAGTGGTTAAAATCCCCTGTAGATGTCCAGTGTATCTGAGTAGCTGAAGCTGGGTTTCTTTAGTGAAAATTATGTGTATCACTGAATGGAGGGCCCTGGGTTGAAAGCCTGAGGGACTAATACATGGTCCATCCAAGAGGGAGGAGGTGCCCGGAGTCCCCAGTGGCAGCATCCAGGCAGTGTTTGCAGACTTATTGCAAATAGCACAGGATCTACTTCTTCCAAACAAATCTGGTCTGCTAATGACAGTGCTTCTCAGATCTTGGAAATGAGAATGTAAGTTTAATTAACTTGACCCAGGATCATTCACCAATGTTACCTAAAATCCCCCACAGGCCTTCCTCCCCAGGAAGCAGGAAGCAGAATGTCATGTTTACTTTTATTTTTCTCTTCCTTGCTCTCTCTCCACCCCCAGTCTTGGCCTCTCTTTGTCTCTCTCTCCTTGTCTCCCCCTCCATCTTCATATGCTTTTCTTTCTCTCTTTACTCAGTCTCACTGTCTCTCTGTCTTCATCTCTCTGTGCCTTTATCCATCTCCCTATCTCTTTTCTTCTCTCTCCATTTAAAAAGATAGATGTATAGAAATCCATCTATATTCTAAATTACATTTTAGCATGCCTGGTAGGCTGAGGCTTCTGCAGCCTGGAGTTTGGGAAGCACAGCTGCTTTAGACGCCCTCTCATAGCCAAGCACTCTCTGCTCAGGGCCAGTCTAGAGAGAAGAGCAGTCGTTTGTGGAGCCTACCCTAGAGAATTACAGTGGGAACTTGCAGACTAAGTCTGCAAGCCACAAGCACAACAATAAGGGCTATTGGTGACCTAATTAGATTATGCGGCCAATTTGATTGTTTGTAAAGAAATTAGTTGCTAAGACAAATAAAAATATTTATACTGAGTAAAAATGGTTAGTGCAGGGAGAACTCTTTTGGGGGGCATTTGCTGACGCTTTTGTGGATTTTAGCATCAATACAGATATCAGATATTATGGCCAAAACCTGTTCAGGGTTGAGGAATGAGTTTGTGTGTGAGACTTCAGCTAAGCAAAGCTGAGATACATATTTTTAAAATCCCAGTTCATTTTGTAAGCGTGCAGGCTGCTGTTGGTGTTGAACACATTTTATGGAACAGTTCATCATCTGGATACCAGATGTTCTGGAGATGTGCTTTTTATTTATTTATTTTTAAGGACTGACCCCTTTTTTATGGAAAAATTTCTTTTCCCCAAAGTCTGGGGATAACTTCTTTTCACATTCTCTGGAACACTTTTTCTAGAGGCAGTGATTTCTCTCTAGTCAAATGATTAATGTTCTATACCATATAATTTTATATAGTCTCATTGAGAATAAGTATGAGTTATGATCAGTCCATATTTACTGATAGCCTACTGTGAACAAAGCCCAACACTAAGCATTGTGGAGAATGACAAAATAAATGAGAGATGAGTAATAATTTCAATAAGGTTATAATGTTTCAAAAATTATTTTTATATGAAAAGACAGCCTGTAAATGTGTCATAGAAAAGGTAAGGTACATTATATACATGCTCTTTAGGCCAAAGTCCACCTCCTGATAGAGGACAAGGAGTAACTGTCTGGGAAACAGTTTGTTTATTTGGCTTTTTCGAGACTGACTATAGAATTACTGTCTTCCCTCTGGCTTAGTTTTCCTCTTCCTGGAAGCTTCCTGCCCCAGTTGTTTCAAGGCTCTTGCCTACGTGTCATATCACACTGGTTAGGGCAGGTCACATAAGACTTGGCTAGGCTAGAAAGCCATTTATTTCCTTGGGGGGGAAAAATTCTCCCATTCTTTTCCAGTCATTTTAAGCTATTTGTTTATCACCTCAAGGTCCATCCCCACTGGATGTGCATTGTGGAACAAACTGCCGGATATGTTGATGTGTGACTTAAAAATAATTGTTGTGTAACTTAAAAATAAAAAATAATTGTTGTGTGACTTGAAAATAATTTTGAAGGCAACCTTCAAAGATCTATATAATATTTCAAAATGAAATAAATGGAACGTAGTGAGAATTCAACAAAGGGAAAATAAAGATAGAAAAGGGCAAACTGAACAGCCATGAACTCAACCTGCAACTTCTCACATCACAAGTTCTAAGTTCTTTAAGAAGACACCTCCAGTCCCTGAAGAGATATTTCTTTTACATTTGCTGCCCTTCCCTGTCAATTACCATGTTGCTCACAAGGCCCACGGTGATCAGGAAAGATGGGACAATAGATTCTTTCTTATCTTCACCAGCATTTGCAGAGGATCTGGACCTGCTTTGAATACAGAGGGAAAGCTGCTTGTTATGTCATGGTTCAGAGTTACTTATTGATTCTTAGAGCAGTGTGCTGAGGCGCTCAGTCATGTTTGACTCTTTTGTAACCCCATAGACTGTACCCTGCCTGGCTCCCCTGTCCATGGAGTTTTCCAGGTAAGATTACTAGAGTGGATTTCCATTTCCTACTCTAGAGGATCTTCCTGACCCAGAGATCGACCCCCCTGTCTCCAGTGTTTTCTACATTGGCAGGTGGATACTTTACCACTAGCGCCACTTGAGAGGCCCTCTTAGAATGGGCAGAACCTCAGATATCATTCAACCATTCCCTTGTAACCATCCCCCTTCTGTACATTATCCTTAACAGGTGAGCTCTAGTATCTTTTATTAGTGTTTGTTACATTATGAAATATTTGCTGACTGTGGGCACATGTTAAGTGCTTGGGACAAAAAGAGTTGCCATTTGCAATTCTCATCCTCAAAGAGCTTAGAGTGCAAGTTATGACCTATAGGATCTACCTAGTATATCTAATGTCTCAAATCTATCTTGTTATCCTGCTAGAAATATTAAAAGTGAGCTTTAATAGATACTGAACTGGAGCTATATCTCCTTATGTGCAGAGAGGTCCATTGCTGTTGTTGTTCAGTCATGTCAGACTCTTTCCAACCCCATGGACTGCAGCATGCCAGGTTTCCCTGTCCTTCACTATCTCCCGGAGTTTGCTCAAACTCATGTCCATTGAGTCATTGATGTCATCCAACCATCTCATCCTCTGTTGTCCCCTTTTCCTCCTGCCTCCAATATTTCCCAGCATCAGGGTTTTTTCCAGTGAGTCAGCTCTTTTCATCAGGTAGCCAAAGTACTGGAGCTTCAGATTCAGCATCAGTCCTTCCAAACAATATTCAGGGTTGATTTCCTTTAGAGAGGTCCATGATACATTGTTGAGTGAGAAGAGCAAGGGGCAGAGCAGATGTAGAATAGGATTCTATTCCTATAAGAATATACATCCCTCTGCTAAATATACAAGTTTGTGTGCTAGTGTATGTTTGTTTAAACAAGAAGGGTGTAAATATACATCAGACTCTTAACATAGGTAATATTAATAGTTGGTTGGGTTGGCAAGGGGAAATTATGGGAGAGGACTAGATTATTTTTCCTTTCAACATCCTTGCTATTAGTACAATAAGTGTGTATTGCATTTTTAACTTCAGAGGTATTACATAAAATTTCTAAAACAAAACTGTCTAAACCTGAAATTCTGGTTTTTGTTTTGATCAGCACATCATGCAGAGAATTCAGAGACTTCAAGCTGACTGGGTCTTGGAAGTAGACACCTTCTTGAGTCAGACGCCCTACGGGTACCGGTCTTTCTCGAATATCATCAGCACCCTCAACCCCACTGCCAAACGACACTTGGTCCTCGCCTGTCACTATGACTCCAAGTATTTTCCTCATTGGGACCACAGAGTGTTTGTGGGAGCCACTGATTCAGCTGTGCCATGTGCAATGATGCTTGAACTTGCTCGGGCCTTAGACAAGCAACTCTTTTCCTTGAAGGTATCTGTTTCCCTCCTGCCGATTCCTGGGATAATAAAATATTTAGCAGTAACTCAGAGTGAATTTTAGAATTCATGGGGCACTAAGAAAGCCATCTAGAGATGTAGACATTCTGTGTATTTTGTGCTAATTTATTGCAAAATGAAATGAATTTGAAATATTAATTGGAAGATTGTTGTTGTTTAGTTGCTTGGTTGTGTCCTGCTCTTTTGGTGACCCCATGGACTGTAGCCTGCCAGACTCCTCTGTCCATGGAACTTCCCAGGCAAGAATGCTGGCATGGATTGCCATTTCCTTCTCCAGGGGATCTTCCCAACCCAGGGATTGAACCTATGTCTCCTCCCTTGTTAGGTGGGTTCCTTACCACTGAGGCACGGGGAAGCCCAGTTGGAAGATTACATTATTTATAATGTCCACCATGGGCAATGAACCTTACTTAGTACATGAGAGTGTATTTGTTAATTGGCACCTGATTTCTTAGTTATGAATACACAGCAAATTAAAAACAGCATTTTTTTTTGCAAAAAATGAAGAAGATGTAAGGTTGATTCAGGTATATGTAGGAAATATATTGATTTCTTCTTGTTTGTATAGCCATGAACATCACAGCCTTCTATTCTGAGAGATGGTGACCTTGAGTTGGGGGAGAGAGTTTCAGCAAAGTGGTTCTGAAGTAGAGAATGGGTAATTCAGACATATCAAGATGAAAAGCATGGAGCAGAAATGCATTATTGTTATTATCTGTGAATCTCGGCTCAATTTTCTGTAGCATAGCAAAGCTTTTGTTACATTTTCAGTTCAGAATACTTCTGGGACTCTCAGATAATGTTATTTCAGTCTCTGTGTTCCTAAGTGTATATTGGGAAAAAGTGCTAAGCCAGATGAAGACATTTTGTTCAGATATCACTCGTAACTGAGTAAACACAGCAAACCCAAAACAGAAAACTTTGTTCACAGACAACAAATACCTTTCTCCCCGCTCAAAGTTTTATGAAGGAGCCGGCATAAGTTGGGGTAAAGAGGTAAAAAAGTTATCTCATAATGGAAGTAATAGAGATATTTGGTTCTATTTTTTGCTGGATATACTGAACTGAAGAAAGCAAGAATTGTTTATAACCACTCAGTATCCTTTATACTGTTTTTTTCCATTTGTTTTGTTTTCTGAACCTTCTATATTGTCTTTGTTCCATGCTCTGCCCTGCTTTTAACTAGCATCCTTTCCTAGCAATTGACTGAGAGAGTTCAGAAGCTGATATAAAAAGGTTAATTTTTCATATTTGCATTTTTAGTGTAAGGACATGAAATGAGGTAAAATATGGCTTAAAGACACAGTCTATGAAGTGGGTGTATTTCTCTTGGTGAGATCCTTTACCTTTTTCCATGTACTTCACTCCTGCTTCTGGTAACCAGAAGTAGAAAGGGCTGAATGATTTTTGAGTAAGGCTCTCCATTAGCAAAAATGCACATACATTCTTTTAATTATCCTTTCTTTTTTAAACAACAACAAAATTTTAATCTGGTCTGCAAGTCCTCATTTTAAGTTTTTTATATAGTACAGTAAAATTTTGGAAATATTTCAATTTTGATGTGGACCTATAGATTGGAAATGGCCATCATAGTAGAAAAGTCTTCCCCATTGTCTCCCAAAAGGCCTCTGGTCTTTGCAGATGATCATTCTATTTTAATAGTTTAAGTTTAAGGGATTCTTCTATTCCCTGTGATAAGTGTTTTTTATATTAGAGGTAAACAGTGATGTGGGAAATGAAAAATAAAGACTGGTTTTGAATGCAACCTCTGAGAGTATCAGATTTATTCTTCAATTGTACTTTAGATTTGTATTAAGGAGATATTTTATGTTCTTCAGCTGTCATGAGTTGTGTAAGGGGTGATAGAATGTGACCCTGGAGAAGCCTGGATAGGAAACTAACTGGATGATGGTTCCAATTCTTTGCAGTCTCCCCCTTCTAGTAATAAGATTGTAATTATCTTTTCACTTCTCTTGTCTTGTAACTTTGCTGTGCCCTTCCACTTTAGCAGGTGGTACTTCCTCATTCCTTGACTCTGGACTTGGTTACTTGACTTGCCTTGGCCAATGGGATGCTAGTAGATAACAAACAGAGGCTGGAAATGTGTTTGTGCAACTGGGCTTGCTCTGTTGTGTCTTGGTGTGCCTTGGCCATCACTGTGAGAAGAGCATGCCTTGGCTAGCTTGCCAGTCCCTGGAGGAGACTAAGAGACTTGTGGAACAGAGCCAACCTTGATGACTGCAGGGTGAAGCAGAGCTCCTCCAGCCTAGACCAGTTGTCCCCAGTTAACCTACAGATCCCAGAGAACTCATGATTGTGGTTTTTTTTTTTTTTCATTTATTTAGTTAAAGGCTATTAGTTGGAGGCTAATTACTTTACAATATTGTAGTGGTTTTTGTCGGTTTTAAGCCACTGAAGTTGGGGTGGTTTTTACACCTTATTTTTATGGCGTTAGCTGATGCAGCCTTGGATGGGGAAAGACTGCAGGTAATGCCCTGACTCTATTAACACTGGTAACTAGGCATTTGTCATATTGCCAGGAAGAAGGACTAGAAGACCTTCACAAATCTGGCCATGCATATTTTCTAGCTCTGAGATACTAGACTGAGTTATTAGAAATTAAAGGCTAAAGTTATTTTTCCACCAATCATAAAAAGTAAAAAGAACAAGTTGCCTCACAGGACTCGGGGTCATTGTCCAAGACAGTTTGCTGCTGCTAAGTCGCTTCAGTCGTGTCTGACTCTGTGCAACCACATAGACGGCAGCCCACCAGGCTCCCCTGTCCCCGGGATTCTCCAGGCAAGAACACTGGAGTGGGTTGCCATTTCCTTCTCCAATGTGTGAAAGTGAAAAGTGAAAATGAAGTTCCTCAGTCGTGTCTGACTCTTAGCGACCCCATGCACCGCAGCCTACCAGGCTCCTCCATCCATGGGATTTTTCCAGGCAAGAGTACTGGAGTGGGGTGCCATTGCCTTCTCCGCCAAAACAGTTTACACCTATCTAAATGAGATGGTGCGAAGAGAAGAGAATGAGAGCAAGCCGTTGTACTGAACCATGGAGTTACCAAACTGTTTACATTTCTGAAGCACCTGAACCTTTAAACTTGAAGAATATGTAAACATTGGGCATGAACCAAGTGTTTCTGGTCCCAAGCAATCTTATTCTGCCCTGGTATTCTATGACTATGTTCTCTGATTTGGAGTTAAAACTTTGGAACCAGTCAAGGCTCTTTGACTGTTTCCACTAATGTTTGTACTGTATACTTTTTGCCAGTGAGACAATCTGTTTCACTACTTCTTGTTGTTGTTCAGTTGCTAACTCATGGCTGACTCTTTGTGACCCCACGGACTGTAGCCCACCTAGTTCCTCTGTCCATGGGATTTCCCAGGCAAGAATAGTGGAGCGGGTTGCCATTTCCTTCTCCAGGAGATCTTCCTAGACCAGGGATCAAACCTGTGTCTCCTAGTTCTTATTAAACCCTGAATGCATATATGTTTCACGGACAGACACATCCTGTCTTTAATACTATCAGGAGTTATGAGAGACTCAAAATATAATAAGCTGTCTTTTTCTTGGGGTATAATTAAGGAGTAACATTTTGACAATTGAAATAATTACCATACAAAGATAACTTAATTTTCAGTTGATAATGACATTTTTTCTCCTTCTTATGAAATCGCCCCAAAGCAATCAAGAAAAATTCCATCTTTGAAGAATTCAGGGAATATCTGTTCATGGAAACCACCATGTGAAGACAGAAGGTGAATGGAGAAAAGACAGATGGCATATCAGAGTAGAGAGATGTCACATTGCCCAGAGAGGAAGAAGTCCAAGAAGACAGTGGTCCCCTGATGAAGTCCTGACTGGCTCAGGGATAGGAAGGGATAGTAAGGAAGGCAGAGATGAGGTAGGGGATGGAGGAGGAGAGTGTTTGTAAGTCTGTATAGGGAGCACTTAAGTGTATAAGAGGGCTTCCCAGATGGCACTAGTGGTAAAGAACCTGCCTGCCAATGCAACAGCCACAGAGACGTGGGTTTGATCCCTGGGTCAAGAAAATCCCCTGGAGGAGGGCATGGCAATCCACTCCAGTATCCTTGCCTGGAGAATCACATGGACAGAGGAACCTGGTGGGCTACAGTCCATAGGATCACAAAGAGTTGGACATGACTGAAGTGACTTAACACACAGAAGTGTATTACATTTCCACCCCCTACCTGGCAGATAGGTGACTCTCTCACCTGTATCCTTGTAGGAGATGATGGGATATTTTTCTGGAGAAATTGAGTCAGGGAGATTCTAGATGTGGGGACACCAGACCTACAGGAGGGCAGTAATGAGGTACCTCATGGGAACCAGTGAGATGAAGTGAAAGACTACACAGTAAGCAGTGAGGTTCCCCAGCTTTTCCCTAATTCCAGCCTGAGAAAGCCCGCAGCCAGCTCACACCCATCCGACAGGAAACTGGAGATCCTTCTCTGGAGAATGCAAACCACCCATAGAGAAGGCCCACAGGCAGTGACATTTGGGGATCCTCAGCGAAAACCCTCAGTGGGCATCAGACTGCCTTGCAGTGGAGCCAAGCAGTCTGTGTCTCTTGTCAGTGTTACAGTGTCTTACTGCTTAATGCAAATGCACACAAAGGATGATCAGATACTTGAGGACCGTCTCCAGCATGAAAGAAAGAAAGCAAAACAAATAATACAAGTTGAAAAATGAACTCAGAGGAAATAGGATACGGCAACAGAAAATAACTTTAAAGAATGCTATTTTCATATCCTTAGAGAGATGAGAGGAGAAGTTTTATCCGTAACAGATTAAAGCAACATCAGAGTCAGTTCCCCAGTACTGCATAGGGTTGGAGAGAGTGAATGGTTGTGTATTTTTCTTCATCCGGGTTCAGGTGCCTGAGTCCAGGCACAAAGCAGGCAGATAGTTGAACTTAATGTTATGTTTTTGCCACATGAGTTTGACCAAGGTGAAGAGAGGCACAGGAATTGAACATGTACACATGAATATTAGTCCTTCTGGTACCCTAACCCCTACAGTCCCTCAACCCCATTGGAATCTCTAATCTGTTGATACATTCGCCTTCTCACAGTCTTTCCTTTACCTCTATGGTGTCCTTACTTCACTCTATGCGTGCATGTGTGCGTGCTAAGATGCCTCAAAGTGACTTAGCATGCACTCACACACACATAGAGTGAAGGGGGGACACTGCAGAGGTAGACTGTGAAAAGGCGAGCATAGCAATAGATTGGAACATAATAGATTAGAGATTCCAATGGGGCTGAAGGACTGTGGGGGTTAGGGTACCAGAAGGACTAATCTGAAAGGTGAGAGCCGCTGTCAAGACAGTGGAAAGTATAACATCCATCAGAATCCTACTTACCCTTCTAAGTTCCACTTAAATACTGTCTCTTTCTTGAAGTCCTCCTTGACATTCAAGGTCTTGATATTCAAGACCTCTCAATCTGCCCGGTTCCTAGAGGAGTTTTCTACTACATTGGTCACCCTTGATACATTTTGCCATGGCTACATGTTTATCTTTCCCTAACCCAAGTAAAGTGTAGGTTCCTCTGAGGGAGAGGCTGTAATTACCATTCTTTGTGTCTCTGTTGCATTCCAAGGGCAGACTCTCGAACCTAGACTCAATACAGCACTGCAGACTTAACTAAGGTGAGAAGCAAGAAAGACTGGTATTGTTTCAGGTTCAGTTCCCTGGGAGGTGCGTTCTGATGTGGAGGTTAGCATTTCGGTCACTTAGTAGGGAGTCGTCTTACCATCACACCTGTGGCAGGGAGGGGAAAGAAATGGGAGTAGGCAGAGGGAGAAGCGGGTCTGCCATGCAGGTTCAGAAACAGCCTCAACCAAACCTTGGGGAGCTCTGGAGGTAGCATGACCCTTTAGAGGGCTCCCCTACCTGCTTAGGCCAGTCATTGCGTGTAGGAACCTCCATGGCTGAGCCAATCCTTACGGGGACCAACAACCGAAGGCTTTCTGCTGACTCCTTTGCTGGCAATAGGGACAACACATCCTTCTGAAAGGGACCTGGGTACTATGTAACAATGTCTGCCATTGCAGTTCCAGAGTTCTCTGAAGAGTAAGAAAAAAAATGTAAGACTTCCATTTTCAGAAGGAATGGAGATGGTGAGATGTATAAGGGTAAAGACTGTAGAATCTCTGAGGATTTCCAGAGAGGAAATGGTGCAAAATAAATTCTGACATATTTTCACTTTCTCTGGCTTCTTCCTTTCCTCCATGGTCCATCTATCTTTTTGTCCAGTTAATAGGAAAGCACGCTATTTTTTTAAAATTCTCAGAATATTTTCTCTCTTTTTCTCTTTTGTTAAAATTCAGAATATCTCAGACTCAAGGCCAGATCTCTCACTCCAGCTAATTTTCTTTGATGGAGAAGAGGCTTTTCATCTCTGGTCTCCTCAGGATTCTCTGTATGGGTCTCGCCACTTAGCTTCCAAGATGGCGTCAACACCACATCCACCTGGAGCAAGGGACACCAACCAGCTGCATGGCATGGTGAGTCCAGGTACTTTTCATGATGCTGCAGCTTCAGACTCTGCTTCAAAGGAAGCCAAAGCTATAGCCAATTAAAGACCTAAAAATGCCACGGCATTCTTAGGAGCAGAGTGTTTATAATAGAGCATTATTTGGCAGGCATTGGGTTTTTGAAGAATCCCAGAGCTAAAAAGAATGATTCTGGGTTAGAAGTTATGTTTGACTGAGCTTAATTAAAAGGATGTAAAAAATCAGAATAAGGAAGCATCAGATTCAGCTTGGTTCCATGGGAGCACATTCACCCAGTAAGTTTAGAGGCGAGGAGAGCAAGTCCCATCTCTGAGGCCTCTGTCAAGCCAGAGGAGACTGAGGTCTTGGGAAATGGGGTATGAGTGGGACATAGTGTAGGGATGGGAGTGAAGAATTTCCTTGGTGGCTTCAAAACATTATAGTGACTTCCAGTGTGTATAGGAAATTTTGGTGTGGCGTTTTTGACATGAGAGTAGTGACATTTCAGTGCTTCCTTAAAATTTTGGTCTTATTACCAAGTAGTGGGTGCAACTTATAGCCCCCTCTTCATCCCTCATTCTGGCCCCACAACCCATGCCTGGTCCCTTATTCCACCATTGAATTTCCTTCCTATTCTGACTGTCTTCCCATATTTGACCTTCACTAACACCAGCATGGAACCCATGAGACTTCAGTATTCCTGCAGCTCCACCCATCCCTGACTCTCATCCTATCTGTGAACTGGTAACCTGTTTCTAACACCCTCCATTCATCCATGTCCTTTGTCCTATCCCCGACCTTCACCCTGTGAGTCCAAGTGGCCACATTCAGTGTCCTGTATGACTCCAAAACATCTCATGTTGGCTTTCTCTCTATCCCATTGCCCACTGGCAGCTCACAAGGGGTCATGCGTACATGCTCAGTCACGTCTGACTCTTTGTGAGCCCAGGGACTGTAGCCTGCCAGGCTCCTCTGTCCATAGGATTTTCCAGGCAAGAATACTGGAGTGGTTTGCCATTTCTTTCTCCGGGGGATCTACCCGACCCAGGGATCAAACCTGCATTTCCTGCATTGTGGGTAAATTCTTTACCGCTGAGCCATCCGGGAAGCCCCATAAGGTGTCAGGAGAACATAACTGACACCTCATTTAATCACTTTTGCTCAAGTGGTTAAAAGGGTTCAAAGGAGGAGAAGAGGCCTGGTTGATCAGCAGGAGGAACAAAGTTATTTGTTTATGAGTCCAGATATATGAACTCATAGTGATAGTTAAGACCATTTTCCCCCCAGAACAAATTCCTAGAAGCTTATCCAACCTGGTGAATATACTCCTATTTCAAACAAGCCTATTTTTTTCCCCAATGAATATATTTAATCATCTTTCATGAGTTAATAGATACTATGTCTTAGAGTCATAGTCTCAGAAAATATCTATTATATATCAGGATCAATGCTAGATATTACTCATACCTTACCTCACTTACATAAATCAGGCATTCTTAATCTGGGGAGTAGTCTCCAGGGAGTCCTCAAGCCTGCTAATATTTTATGGCTCAGAGAAACACTGGCTTATTAGAGAGGCGTTTAGCCAGAAAGGACCTTTAGAGATCAGCAAGCTAGAGCTTCTCGTTTGACAGAAAAGGAAATGGATATTCAGAGACTAAGCTTATAGAACTCCTAGTCAAGGAAACTCTCTTCTGTGCTGCTTTAAGGAATAAATAGTTCCTATGCAAGTGTTCTCTTTGGCAGTTGTGTTATTACAGGCTAAGGATAAAATGACTGATTAGGATGGAGTAGAAGACGAGACAGGCTTTTAAGCCCATCTGAAAATAAAGAAAATGTATCCTTTTTTCCTATGAAATACTTATCCAAGTGTCCTCCTTCTAATTTAGCCTTAGTGATATTGTTCTGGAGTTATAGACATGAAGAATCTACATTTTGCTATTTCTCCACATTGTACAAGCAAGATTTAAAAATCTCCCTCAGATGATTCATTTACAATGTTATTAAACCTTTTGTTGATTTATACAGCTCCCCATTTCATTCTCAGTTATTAAAATGCAGTTAGTCTTGACTGATTTTTTTCTATTGATGAGTATGAAATGTGTTTTGGCAACAGTGATTATATAATATTTTTTCTCCCTTAGGATTTATTGGTCTTACTGGATTTAATTGGAGCTCCATACCCGACATTTCCCAACTTTTTCCCAAACACTGCCAGATGGTTTGGTAGACTTGAAGCAATTGGTAAGCAGCACTCTTATTATGGTGGCTCAGATGGTAAAGAATCTGCCTGCAATGTGGGAGACGTGGGTTCCATCCCTGGGGGTCAGGAAGAACCCCTGGAGAAGGGAATGACAACTGACTCCAGTATGCCTGGAGAATTCCATGGACAGAGGAGCCTGGTGGGCTATAGTCCATGGGGTTGCAAAGTGTTGGACATGACTGAAAGACTAACACTTTCACTTTTTCACTCTTAGAGAATCAAACCTGGTTTCTTCTCACTGATAAACACTAAATTCTAAAATTCAGAATTTGTGACTTAAGGGTGTGATCAGAGTACACAATATACTTTACTGGCTTTTTTCTTGCTTTATTGATTAGTTTATTATTCCTATTCATCTCTTTTTATTTTCCTGCATGAAACTGCATTTTGAAATGGAAACGTAAAATACTACATTTCATATATTCATATCCTTAGAAATAGTTTGGAGATATTTTCTCAAAGTCCTGTTTGAAACATATGGAATGCGTTTTTAGGGAAAACTCAGCAAAACACGTTGGATAATGATGACTGTTATGTCCTTACAATGATACCAAAAGATACCCTTTAGTGCTTCTTTTTTTCATCTGTTGTCTTTGTCATCTTCTATTTTCTGCCTTATATACTTGTGATATTCTTTTAAATTTAGTACCATCTCTGCCTGTTTTCTGAAGTAATAAGTAAAGGGGATGCAAGAGAAAGCCAAAATCCTTCACTTAAGAGAAGGTTTCAGTCCAGTTCAGTTCAGTTCAGTTGCTCAGTCGTGTCCAACTCTTTGCGACCCCATGAACCGCAGCACGCCAGGCCTCCCTGTCCGTCACCAGCTCCCAGAGTTTACTCAAACTCATGTCCATCGAATTGGTGATGCCATCCAGCCATCTCATCCTCTGTCTTCCCCTTCTCCTCCTGCCCCCAATCCCTCCCGGCATCAGGTTTAGTGACAACTAAATGGGAGTAGATGAGGCCAGATGAGGTTAGGCCAGGCTAGCCAAGGAAACAAAGTTATCTGTGGCTCAGGAGAGAGGCTGGGGGCTTGGAGAAGGAGAATAACTTCTTTCTCTTGTATCTCTACTCCATATACTCCTCCCTCTCCACACACACATACACACACACACACACGAACAAAACAAATGACAAAAGGTTGGCCTCAGGGAGGGATGAACATGAGATAGATGTTTATCATAGAATTCAGGCCAGGAGAGCCCTGCTTTTGTGGCAAAAACATCAGACTAAGAATTCTTTTCTAGCCACACACAGACTTCTTGCAGTGGGGTAGGATAGTACTTTCTTCTCAGCAGTGGAGAAAATGCTGCCATCTAAAGTCACACATTTGCCATAATGTGTCTGTATCCAGATCTAGAATATTGTGAAAGAAATGTTTACCTGAATCTCAGATGCTTATCTTTGACAAATTTCAATTTCTAATTTAAAAGACTTGCTATTCTGGTATTAATATAAGCTTTTGGGGACACTTCCTTACAGCATGTTTTCCTTACTCTGAGTAGCCTCAAGAAATTGGGTTTGGCCTTGTGTCATGGGTTTGGTTCCCTTATCTCATTGCTTCCACCAGAATGAATTTATATCAGTAACTCACATGTTAACTTAATTTTAACCCATTGTATAACCCACTGAGTGGTATTTATATTCAAACCGTATCTCTAATTGTATGAGGAAAAGTTGTATATGAGATAAGGAATTATAATTATCAATAAACAGATGGGAATATTGTGGTAGTAAGAGCTTTTTTGATGTTCCTAAAATCATATTAGATGTGATTGCTTACCCTTTGGTCTAATTTTACCCTTTAAATTTAGCAATGAATATAACCAGTCCTGCAAAGTTTCATTTGGTTGTCTTAAACTCTTCTTGTGATCTCTTTTCATCTTATAACATAGACTCATGTTATACGTAACTCATGTAACACATGAGTTCTATGTTACGCTATGGCAGGAGTGATGGAATGTAGGTCAATGGTTCTCAAATTTTAGTGTGCGTTAGAATCACCTGGAAGGCGATCACCACAGAGTGCTGGACCGCACCCCTAGAATCTCTAATTCAGTCGGTCAGAGGTGGGACCAGATACTCTGCATTACTGATAAGTTCCCAGGTGGTGCTGATGCAACTGATCATAGACCACACTTTGAGAACCACTGATGTGAGTTATAGTAAGTATCCCTTTTGCAAAGAGAGGTCACTGAGTATAGTACTTCATACCTATCCTGTCTAAGGATTCCCTTTCAAGCCCAGCATCTCCTCTTGAAACACTCTTTGTGCAGGGTTGAAAATCTGTAAATATCTACACCTGCGTTTTCCCCCTCTGCTTCCCTCTGGTTTTCTCATTCTCCATCTCTCCACTGTTCTATTGAGTTTCTGACTCTGGGAAGTCAGAAAACTAGTCAGAGGTGACTCCTCCCTCAGAACTAATCCAAAATGTCCACACCCCAAGTTCAGCTCAGAGGTTATTTTTGTCATGGGTGCACGACTCACAGTGTTTTAAGACCAAGTGCCACGATTTCAAACTCATTTTGCGTTCTGACCGTCGATTAGTTAAAAATACATGTTCATCTGCTGTCTAATTATCATCTGCAGAACATGAACTCCGTGAATTAGGTTTGCTCAAGGATCACTCTTCGGAGAGGTGGTATTTCCGGAATTCTGGTTATGGAGGTGTGATTCAGGATGACCATATTCCATTTTTAAGAAGAGGTAATGTGTATATGTATAAATATATATGCATGCATGCACATCTGTGGTTTTTTCCTATTGTATTTGGTGTATTTGGTGTAATACAAATGTATTACAACATTTGTAAATGTTGTGCATTTACAACAATCTAGAAGTGTGAAGAACCATTAAATTTAATAGTTGATAAATTAAATCATTCACCAATCATCTCATGGCTTTTATTTTTTTCATGAAAGTCATTGTAAATCCCCGAAGAGACCTTTTTATTTTTCCCTACATGTAGAATATTTATCAACACTCATATGCCTCTGACATCCTGCTTTCCCTTTCACAGACCTAGATTGTATTCTTATACTTTATGTACCTCTGGTGTTTTCCGGCTAATAAGGAAGCAAAAGGATTCCCTAGTGGCTCAGATTGTAAAGAATCTGCCTGCAATGCAGGAGACTCGGGTATGATCCCTGGGTTGGGAAGATACCCTGGAGAAGGAAATGGCAACCCCCTCCAATATTCTTGCCTGGAGAATTCCATGGACAGAGGAGCCTGGTGGGCTGCAGTCCATGGAGTTGCAAAGAGTTGGACATGACTGAGCGATGAACATTTTCACTTTCATTTCATCCTTTCCATCAGTGTTGGAAGTCTAAATTAACTCAAGAATTCTTACAGTAGCCATCCAATTCATCTCCTTTTGCTCTTGCCTCGTTATTCTTTATGTATGAGCAAGTGTTATCTTTAAAAAATGTCAATCAGATTATGTTACTTCCCTATCTTAAAGCTCTGTTGGCTTTCATGTAGAGTAAGACCCAAAGTCTGCATCATGACCTACAAGGGCTTCCATTTTCTGACTCCTTTCTTCCTCTGCAGCATCAACTCCTACCTCTCTAATCATTGCTCTGACCCAGTCACATTGCTGTTGTGCAAGCAGGCCAAGCACATTCCTACCTCAGGACCTTTGGGCTTGCTAATACTGCTGCCTGATCGCCCCCAGATCTTCACACCGCTTCCTGTCTCCTTGGTTGCATCTGTTTAAATGTTAGCTTCTCAAAGACCTTATTTTATTTTTTGATGATTTGATTTTTTAAAACTGTATGTAATTCATATGTATTTTTGGTCTTCATTGCTGCCTTCAGGCTTTCTCTAGTTGTGGAGAGTGGGGACTATTCTCTAGTTGCAGTGCCTGGGCTCCCCAGTGCAGTGGCTTCTTTTGTGGCAGAACACAGGCTCTGGGGCACGTGGGCTTCCGTAGTTGCAGTGCACAGGCTTAGTTGCCCCACAGTGTGTGGAGTCTTCTTGTATCCTTGGCAGGTGGATTCTTAACCATTGGACCACTAGGGAAGTCCAGGGCCATCCTGATTTTAAATTCCTCTTTCTTGGCCCTGCTGTCTGCCCCTCATTCTCTATTCCCTTATCTTGTTTTATGGTTCTTTATAAACCTTGTCATTTTCAAAAATTATTTTTTGTATTTGTTTATTTGTTTCTTTCTCTAGTAAAATGTAAGTTCCATATGAACAGGGCTTTGCCTTTTCACTGATGAACCCTCAATTCCTAGAATAGGGGCTGGCACATAGTAAGTGCTTTATTATTATTTACTGAATCTATTAATATTTGTTTAATGAATGAATGACTTTGGAGTGTCAGGGTAAGGTACAGGAAAGTACACAGAAGTTATTAGCTGAGTTATTAGCTGTGTTTATATAGTACAGAGCTCCCACTTAGACTTCTTTGAAGAATGATACTTTTAAGCTTACTCATGGGAAATATGTACTTAATTACAAGTCATTTCTTTGTGTTAGGTGTTCCAGTTTTGCATCTGATATCATCTCCTTTTCCTGAAGTCTGGCACACCATGGATGACAATGAAGAAAATTTGGATAGAACAACCATTGACAATCTAAACAAAATTCTACAAGTATTTGTGTTAGAATATCTTCATTTGTAATATTCTGGTTTAGTTTACTGGTAAACTAAATATTCTGGTGACTGCATCTAGTATCATATTCAGAAGTCAAGGAATCCTTTAAAATAATCTGACTCTAGACAATGCTGTGTGGAAACTTCTATCCTATAGATTTTTTCTGTAGGTATCTTTGAATATCCTAGATTTATGTCATGTCCAAATTGCTCATTAATTTTCATCTAGTGATAAATGGAAATGTAAGAAAAACTGAAGATACATATCTTTAAAAAAACTCCTTTAGATAAGAAACTATGAAGCTAAATCAGATGCATATAGTTAATATCATGGTCTTCTAAAATAGTATTTAATATGATGGTCAGGTGCAATGTGTAGCCTTAGTTTTATGATTTTCTTATACTTGCAAATCTATTGCATATAAAACAAAACAGAGATGCAGTTTGAGGACTCAATTTCTTTGAGAAATCTTTGTATGGTTTATTTTATGGAAATTAAATCAAAATTAAATGCCATGTTGTGAATGTCTTTCTTTATATATAAATGAAAAAATCATATGATGTAAAGTATAGCTCAATTTTATTGTTTTACAAATTTAACATTTTTATTGTAAAATAATATAGTCAGTACAAAAAACATAGAAAACGGAGAAAGTAAAAAAGCCATAATTTCGTTATATTAACCAAATCATCACTCACTCTAATTTTTCCTCACATATTTTCAAAGCGGTTTTTGTGTATTTATAATTAAACTCTATCTTCAGTTCTTTGGCTTTCTGTCTGTTAAATTATATAATTACCAGACATTTATTTGTTGTTTTGATCTTGGGTTACGATGAAGACAAAGATTGTTGAGTGTGTCCTCCAGAGTCAATATGAAGGTAACACAGAGGGAGCACAGCAATTATGATCATTTCTGTGTATTGTTGTATAAATTATATGATAGTCACATTTGTTTAATTACTTATGACTAATTTCTTTGGGAGATTCATGGAAGCAAAATTGTTTGGGCTGGAAACATGTAAGAATTCATGGATTTTTCTTTAGCTATAGGAAACAGTTATCTAGAAATGCAAACTTGATCACAGTTAAACAATGAGACGATTGATCCTGCCTTATACTAATAGATGAAGTTAATTGGGGGTTGCTGTTTTTCATGTGTTCTCTGTTTTGTGTGGACATTTAATAAACTTCACTGAGTTAATGTGCTGGGACTGGATAGGGTGTGAGACAAACTTAGTGGGAAAGCAATAGCAACCTCAAGGTCAATAGCAAAGACAGTCACTGGAAAAGGAATTTACTTATGAAAACATACTTTCCAGGTCAAGAAAGGGGCTAAAATATAATTTGTGTATATGACTTTATATAATTTTATAAAAGAATAGCCAGAATTATATACAATTATATCTAACTATGTCTGTAATTTCATGTTGGTGAATTGTATTTCGTTTTAAACAATTTTTTTTTACAAGTATTCATTTATTCTTAAATTTTGGCCCTGTCATGCAGCATGTGGTATCTTAGTTCCCTGACCAAGGATCTAACCTGTACCCCCTGCATTGAAAGGTTCAATCTTGACTACTCGACCACTGGGGGAGTCCCTGCTGAATTTATAGAACTGGATTTTTACAGACTTTATTTTACACAAATCTGCTTCTAAAATTATATACTGGTAAGTCGTGCATTTGTGAATTAAGTAATATTAAGAACTAACACTTATTGAGTATTAACTCAGTGTCAGTGTTATAGGTGCTGCACATGTTTTTACCAACTTAATCCTCACAACAATCCTAAAGGGTATCGGCTACTATTGGCCACATTTTATGATGCTCAGAGGGCTTCCCAGGTGGCGCTAGTGGTAAAGAACCTATCTGCCAGTGCAAGAGATGTAAGTGATGCGGGTTCGAGCCCTGGGTCAGAGAGATTCCCTGGAGGAGGGCATGGCAACCCACTCCAGTATTCTTGCTTGGAGAATCCCATGGACAGAGGAGCCTGGCAGGCTACAGTCCAAGGGTCACAAAGAGTCAGACACAACTGAAGCAACTTAGCACACACACATGCATGATGCTCACAATGGTTAAGTATCTTCTTCAGGATCATGCAGCTAGTAAGTGACCATGCTGGGGCTAGAACCCAAGCAGTCTGGCGCTACAGCTCATCCTCTGGAGCACTGTAGAGTAACGCCTCTTTACATGAAAAGACCTTTGCAGAATATTTTTAATACCAAACACAATGCAACAATGGTGTCTTGAAATTTTCATAGGTTATTCATTCAGTCTGGCAGAGCATTCTTAAATCATTGCTGCACGGGTTCACATGACAGTGTTAGGCTTCAGAGGTGTGTCATTTGTATGCAGAATTATTTCTCTGCCATATCAAAGGCTATTTTTACATAAGCTTGGGTATCACAGAAATCAACACGAGTGGTTCCAGGGCTGAAGAATCTAAGCCACAAAGAAGGATTAAAAAAGGCTGAGTTTTCTGGACTAATTTTCAAATGAGTGAAAACATTTGAAAGGGGTTCAGGGAAAACACTTTTTAAATACCAGAAAAGAAATGATTTAACTGACAGATATTAAAACAGAACGAAAAGATGTTTTAATAAGGAAACTAAAAGTTAGTTGACAGTACTACATATATAATTATACACCTAAATGACAAATCCTATTTGAGGCAGAATGAAATAAATAGATCTGCTATAATCTTTTGGTGAACATTAGTTGAATTATTTTTAGAGGAGGACATTGGAGAATATGTTGAAATGAGATAAGAGGAAAAATAAAAACATAAGCAGATTAACTCAGGGAAAGTTTTCTTCCTTCTAAGTGGCATATTCTAAAATTCTATTGACAGAGTTTGTACTGATATGGGAAAAGTAATCATGATACCGTAAAGGGAAACATTTTAAGGTATTAATCTTGATATTAATCCCTGAAATATGTTCTGTATAAAAACACCAGTCAGAAATATCACTTTAAAAATCATACCTGCAAAGGCAGGTTTCCATAAACATTATGTTGTATTTGGAATTTTCCTATATACATTTTGGAGCATTTTACTACCCCTAAGAGAACAATTTGTATGCTTTGTCTATTACTGTCAACCCTACAACACACAGGGCTATTTTTCTTCTTCAAGAGAAATGAGTTCAAAGGAAAATATTCATAAAAGAGTATTCATAACCTTGGCATCTAAAAAAAATCATGAGTCTGTTATTGTAGCTTGAGGGTTGTGGCTGGAAGAGAAAAGACAGATCCTTCAAACTGCAGAAATGTTTTCAATGGTGAAGCAGTTGTCTTAAGAACAAAGCAGCCCATGCTTTCAGCTCCAACTCCAAATCCTTAATTGTTTATTCCAGGGAGCTTCTTTCTTCCATCAAAGAGGTGCATTCATTCTGATGCTGCAGCAAAGTCATGTGAAAACTCAGCATATGCTCAATTTACTTGGCTCAGCTCGAGGTGGTTACTTCTCACAAAGGAGGAGAGGGACAAGACACAAGACACTTCTACTTCTCTAATGTACAGGCAGCCCCACAGGAAGCTTGGTCATGGTATATTCTGCTGAAAATGAAATCTGTTTCTTTACAAGCCCTAAATCTGAGGAATACAGGTGTGGGAATAAAGGACATAAAGAGACGATGAGGGAGACTGTTTATGGCAGCCATATTAATTTAAAGCAAAACTAATGTAGGAAATTTGGGGAAATTATTTAAATTTGCTGTTCATGATATGGGGTTGTGCTTATCACAGCCAACCTTCTCACCAACTTTTGGCTTCAAAGATGAATGTACGAAAGATTGAGGTTTCACTCTTGAGTTTCAGGGCCACTTTCTGCACAGTCTGAAACACTAAAAGTCATTTTGAAGTGGTTTAACGTCCTCCTGTTATTTCTCCCTCTGTCTTACTTCTCTGACTTCTGTGGTACATCTTTCTCAGCCTTCAAATAGCTAACCTATTACTCTGTTGTGAGGAGTGGGTCCCATTGTGTAAATTCACTGCCATGTTTCATGGAAGGACTCAGGTGGAGAGGGAGAGGTCATTAGCTGGTTGAGCCAGTAGGGTGCTAGGGACACCCCTATTATCCTCCTCAACATGAAAATTGGCCACAGGGTCCTGGCATTACATTCAGCAGCAATAATTTATGGCAGTTTTGAAGACAGCTGACATGAAAGGACTGTCTGCGTCATGGCTGCAGCCTTCAGCCTGAATTTGGCTGGCATGCTCACGCCATGTGAAGTCATCTTATTGTGCTCATATTTCAAAGGCAACACGTGGGACATGGCCCATTCTCCCAACATATCCATATTTGCCAGAGAGAATTTAGACCATTTGTTTGAGAGTTAATATTAAGAGCACAGAATTGTTAAGAAGAGAAAAAAACTTGACTTAAAGCAAAAACAGACAAGCAAGCATGCAAACAAACAAAAAAACCCTATCAACCAATTGAACAAATTAAAACCCTACAAGGATTACAAAGGTAACATTAAAAATAGATTTAAAAACTGATGAATTATAATTAGTACTGAATACTTTGTTCTATTACGTTTAAAAATTTCTATGGGGTACAAGAGTTCCTTGGCAGGCAAGGATTAAACTATTGTGGTTTTGACTAACAAAGAATGACAAGCAGTAAATTTTTTGAGTTAAAAGATTGACATGGAGAAGTGAATGAGCCTAGCTGACTGCTGACCATCAGTTGTTATTTATTGTTATTCTCTAGTCATCCTTGCTGTAACACTTGAGAAGTAGTAAAACACATTTGTTTATAAAAAAGGAGTGCATTCCCTGCATTTCCTAAGCCAGCTGCTCTTACTGGAGATGTAATTGAAGAGGTCATTTTTGATGGCCGCACAGAGTAGTTTTATACATGATTTTAATCCCTTATTGATAGATGAATTAAGGATAGGAAAAGATTATTACAAAATTTCAGGGATTTAAAATTATCTTTTTAGTAATTTTATTTTGCTGAATTGTTTCACAAATTTCTAGCCCTAATTCCTTTTGGCCTAAATGGTGTTCTAGGTTCATT